AGAGGGAAATAGTAGAGTCATTGTCAATGAGATCCGGAGTGGATGTGGATCTTCAAATATGTGTGTGTGTGTGTGTGTGTGTGTATGTATGTGTGTGTGCATGTAAGGTCACGTGGCTATTTTGAAAATGCAATAAAGTGAAAGAAAGACAATGAGCGCAAAATTTGAATGCAAAAGAGTCCAATGTTTTTTCATTAAAATGAGCATATGGCATATGAAAATGACAAACCCTTAACAAATGGACCAATGTTCCTCGGGCAAGGCACATGGCTTAAAGTCATTGTTTCAATAAAATTACAGACAAATTTCCTAAATTAATAAAACAGTAAATGGTAATTACTCCTTGTTGAAGGAGATTGGAATGAAATCCTTGGCACGCCAATTGGTGAGTCCTTCTTCGGCAGTCGGGTAGATCCAGTCATCAAAATCACAGTCGTTATCGGAGTCTTCAAGAGCATTCACTTCATGGTTACTAATGCGAAGATGTGGTTTCCCTGCACGAGTACATCTTACCTATTTTTGAGCTTTGGTAGTGAAGCCCAAACCACATTTGTCTGAATTGAAAGGGAAATCAGGAAGTTGTCCCTTAATGGTGCAACCTCCTTCTTCAACAACAGCACGGGAATCTTTGAGAGAGGCCATCCTCGGTGTATCTTTAGCAGCTTTAGGAGTATTAGGAGTGGCCTTGGCAACAACAACCATGGGAGAGACCACCTTAAAGGCTTGACAAGGAGTTTCAATGAACTAGCCATCCATTTCAACATACTTGAATGAATTTAGATGACTAATTATAAACTCTTCTTCACCACAGACGGTAACAATTTTCCTATTGACCGGATATTTCAACTTCTGATTTAGTGTGGAAGTTACTGCACCTTCCCCATGTATCCATGGGCATCCAAGAAGACACGAATAAGCAGGATGGATATCCATCACATAGAATGTTGAGTTAAATACTTGAGACCCAACCTTGATAGAGAGATCAACCTCTCCATGGATCATCCTCTTAGAGCCATCGAAAGCCCTTACTACAATGTCGCTAGGTTTCAATACCAATCTATCACAGTCTATTCTATCTAAAGCTCCTTTAGGTAATACATTGAGAGAATATCATTTATCCACTAATACATGTGCCATGGTAGTGCCCTTGCATTCTATGGAGACATGGAGAGTTTTCTTGTAATTCTTCCCCATCGGAGTCAAATCTGCGTCAGAGAATCTTAAACCATTATCGGCAGTCAAGTTTGCTACACAGTTTTCAAATTGGTCGGTTGTAGTTTCTTGTGGGACATGTGCATCTTTTAGGAACATTATCAGTGCTTGGGCATGCGCCTCAGAACATAGCAACAAAGATAACATAGAAATCTTCGAGGGTGTTTCCACTAACTGTTCCACTATCTTGTAATCACTTTTTTTGATGATTTTTAGAATCTCCTCCATCTCTTGGGCAGATAGGTCCTTAACGGTGATATCTTTTGTGGGTGCCTCTGTCCTGGCAGGCTCGGTCATTTCTTCCTTTCCTCTAGTGTCAGTAATATGTTTAAAAATGGTAATACAAATGGGTATAGTAGTGTTTGTCGGAGGTGAAATTTCTGGAGAGAAGATCCTCCTCGTCCTAGTAACTTTACTCGATCCAACGATATTTGTAATGTCAAGAGTGTCATCTTTATAATCCCAGGAATCTTATTTGATACCATAGTAGTATACTTCCGTCCCATAATTCCAGGGTACTGCCTTATCAGAAGAGTAAGGGATTGGACTCGGTGTAGTGATGATTAATGGAGCTATTCTTGGTTCAATGGGAATCCTAATAGGACCTATGGAGGTGCTCCTAATAGGTTTATTTGAGATAGTAATGATGGACACATCTTTAAATTCTTGAGATACACTTTGGTTAAAACCTTTCGCAAATGGAGTTCTTTCAAATAGAATCTCATGGCTATCCATCAGGTGTTGGACACCTTTCTTAAGCCATTCACAACCAGTATTTTGTACAGCACAACAACAACTATCTTCAAGGCAGCCAGGGAATACTCCGGCTTTCAACAAATTCTTTTTAATAGTCTTCAAAGGAGTAGTTAAATCATTGACGGAGGAAACAAAATAGGCATATTCAATAGCATTGACACCCTTACCATGATTTGGCATAGGTGCAGTCATTACATTGGGAGTTGACGGATGGTCGAATTCAATTGTCTTGTTATCAATTAGGTCTTGGATTTTGTTCTTTAGAGACCAACCATCATTGGTATCATGTCCAAGGTTGTTTGAGTGGTAAGCGCATTTGGCATTGGGGTTGTATTTAGGAGAGGAGGTATTAGGGTTTTGGGTAGGATCTCTCAATGTAACCAGCTCTGCTTTTAGTAAGTGTTGCAATGCTTGAGACAATGACGTATTGATCTTAGTATACTGCCTTTATTGAAACTTTATCCTTCGCCTATTCCCTTGTTGTTGTTGAGTAGGATTGGAAATTAATACTGCCCCTACTGAATGATGCCGATCATTCTTAGTACGGCTTCTTGATCCATATACAACATTAGTCTCCTTTTTTCTAGCAAATGGTTTTTTCACAACATCAGAGGTGGAGGCCCTCGGTATTTTCCCGCTTTTGATCCCGCTTTCAACCCTCTCACCAGTCAAGATCAATTCAGTGAATCTGGATAATAAACTTTCAATCAGTAAGTTGAAAAATGGTCTAGTCAAGGTTCCCAAAAACATATCTACCAACTCCCTATCGGTCAATGTTGGTTGTACTCTACCAGTAAGGTCTCTCCATTTTTATACGTACTCTTTAAAACCTTCATTGGAACCCATTGTCATTCCTTGTAATTGAACTCTAGTTGGCGCCAAATCAGTGTTATACTGATATTGACGGTAGAAAGTGGTTTCCAGATCTTCCTAGGTATGAATGTTTGAACCCTCCAACTGATAAAACCACTCCAATTGAGTCCCAGATAGACTTTCTTGAAAGAAGTGCACCCACAACTTCTTATCTATGGTATGCGGTTGAATTTTACGGACGTAAGATCTCAAGTGAAGCTTTGGGCATGAAACACCATCGTACTTAGCAAAGAGTGGGATCTTGAATTTATGGGGAATAACTACCCCAGACACCAAACCCATATCACCAAAATCCAAGCCAGGCATGGCTTGAATTTCCACAGCCTTCAACCTATCTTCCAGTTGCTTATACTTGTCCTCAGCGGGTGGATACTGTTCATCAAAATAGTCTTCATCCTCAGAGTTTGGCTTATTTCCACCTCCAACATAGGTAATCCTTGCTGAAATTCTGGCAGTAGATACTCAATGTCACAGTGAATGTTATGACACCGTATCTGACTTTCTATAAGACAGTAAATAGAAAAATAGTAAATAACACAGTCAATTGTTTACCCAGTTCAGTGTGAAACAACACCTACTCTGGGGGCTACCAAGCCAGGGAGAAAATCCACTATAAGAGATATTAATTCAGGAATAAACCAACCAGTTTATCTCCTTCACTTAAGACCTACCCAATGCAACTTCAATCTAAGTTCAACTTAAACTTGAGTTCCTACTCACTCCCCCTCAATCACAGCTGTAATACCCCAAATTTGTCCTACCCCTTTTACTTCCTATCTGGCTTACGCATTTTTTGCATTTTTCTCACATTAGGTCATCTAACACATCATGCATCATTAATCAATAAATTGGCATAAGATCATGGATTTCGAGGAATAAGGGTTGGTGTATGGCTTTAAGGCTCCCATCTTCGCACAAGCTTGTTTCGGTTGATTTCTCCATTAATAATCTGTTTGAAGCTAGGTTTTCATTTCATGGACCTTATCATCATCAAGCTACGATGCTATTCTTTTCTTCCCAATTCTAAGTTGCAAGGTTTTATGAGACGAAGCTAAAAAATCAGGGTTTATACATTTTCATATTTGAGCTTGTCAGCATCCTACCTGAGGTTCATTCCATATCAAGGTATTCGCATGTCGCATCTTTCATATTCATCCGCAAAGAATCCCTCAGGGCATAGTCATTATCATCTATTGAGAAGGGGTCCAAGACGTCGCTGTTCTAGTGCTCATATAGTCGGGACATGGTACAAGATGTTGATTGTGATCAAGGTGTCATTATCTCAGATGCTTATTTGCTTGACACGCAAATTTGGTTTAGATCGGAAAATTGAATTGAATTAGGGGGTTCACTGAAGCTGTGGTTTGATTAGAATTCATTCATCAATATTTGAAGTTGATTTGGAATATTTGAAGTGGATTTGGAGAAAATCAAAGTTCTTAAATATTCGCGTGGCTTTTCTTGGAATTCAAACCACAAACATGAAAAAGCATGTATTAAATTCATCCAACCATCAAAATATTGTCCAAATATCCTCTCTTGGATTCATTCAAGATTCATGTCTCTTTTGATTACCTTGCAAATATTTTGGATTCATACTATTTATTTGAATTCATACAAAGGCCATTTCATTATATGGGAATAAAGTCAACATACATTACAATTATTCAAATACATACAAATCCAAATTCCATTACAATTATACATAACATCTATGCATTTTTACCAAAACCATATCATAACCAAATACCCAACACCATTTACAATATCCAAAAATACTACAAAAAAAGAAATACAATTAAAAGTGCATATATTGATTCTCATCATCGCTTTTTGTGTGGCCTCGTCGTGTTTGAAATGCAACCTTGTTGCTTCCATCTTCATTACCTTCTTCATGACCAAACCGGCGTATTGTAACTTGCCATGGTCTATGCTTTTTTTCCAAAGCAATCCTGAACATTTACACAACAAAAAGATACAATTATTATCAATTCCAAAACAGCCCTGCACATAACAAACATAATATATAACCAATTCCCTAACTTCTAACAGCATAACTAACCAAAACTATTATAACACCTAACAACTTTTCTTAACTTTCTTCTCGACTAACGCATTCAACACACACATCACAAAAATCATAAACAAAATAATCATCAATGGCGATTGATCATGAAGACGAACTCAAAGACGAGAAGAACCCTCGCCCCCTCGGCGAGGATGATATCGCTATCCTCAAAAACCTACAGTTTGGGACCTTATTCCACAAGAATTAAAAAAGTGGAGAAGGAAATTAAAGATATGGAAAAGAAAGTGAATGACTTATGTGGTATCAAGGAGTCTGATACTGGTTTAGCGGCACCTAGCCAATGGGATCTTGTTTCTGACAAGCAAATGATACAGGAGGAGCAGCCTCTTCAGGTTGCGAGATGCACAAAAATTATAAACCCAAACTCTGAAGATGCCAAATATGTCATCAATGTGAAGCAGATTGCAAAGTTTGTTGTTGGACTAGGAGACAAGGTTTCCCCCCACAGACATAGAGGAAGGAATGCGTGTTGGTGTTGATAGAAACAAATATCAGATTCAGATTCCTTTGCCTCCAAAAATTGATCCAAGTGTTACCATGATGACAGTTGAAGAGAAACCAGATGTGACATATAATGATGTTGGTGGCTGTAAGGAGCAGATTGAAAAGATGCGTGAAGTTGTTGAACTTCCCATGCTTCATCCTGAGAAATTTGTCAAGCTCGGAATTGATCCTCCAAAGGGTGTGCTTTGTTATGGTCCACCAGGAACTGGCAAAACTCTATTAGCCAGGGTTGTTGCCAATAGGACTGATGCTTGTTTTATTAGAGTCATTGGAAGTGAGCTTGCTCAGAAATATGTCGGTGAGGGGGCTCGGATGGTTCGTGAAATATTTCAGATGGCCCGTTCAAAGAAGGCAAGCATTGTGTTTTTTGATGAAGTTGATGCAATTGGAGGTGCGCGATTTGATGATGGAGTTGGTGGTGATAATGAGGTTCAGCGTACTATGCTTGAAATTGTGAATCAGCTTGATGGGTTTGATGCCCGAGGAAACATCAAAGTTTTGATGGCAACAAACAGGCCCGACACTTTGGATCCAGCACTATTGCAGCCTGGGCGATTGGATCGTAAAGTTGAATCTGGCCTTCCTGATTTAGAGAGTAGGATAAACACAAGAACCATGAACTGTGAAAGAGATATCCATTTTGAACTTCTAGCCAAAAAAAACTTACAGCAACATGACCTGTAATTAAATAACAAACATAATATATGAACTCCTAACCAAAATTCCAGCCAACTAACTTCTAACAAAAAAGGAAACTAATAACTAACTCAACAAACCATAAACAACATAACTAACTATAACTAATTCCTTGCCAGCTCAGAATAAGCTTCATAACAGAAAATCAGTTAGAAATAACAGAAATTCTCAACTGAACTCATCTCCACCATTGGATCTTGTAACAAGCTTCAGGAATCAGTGGTATGTAACTAACTTTGGAAATTCCATCCAACCATAAAACAAAATGTCACTCTTCAATCCCACACGAATCTTCATTTCATCACTCCCACACCAATCTTCATTTCATCACTCCCACACCAATCTTCATCTCGTCCTCTCACTCTTCTCTCCCTCTCTAAACCTCGTCTCTTCTAACCTTCTTCAATCTTCTTCAACCCTCCACCACCCTCAATCTCAAAAGGAATTTACTTTCTACAAATCTCTATACTCTCTTCTCTTTACTGTATCTCCGAATCACCATAGACCGGTTCTGCACCATCGACCTTCTTCGCATAACATCCTCTTCCCACCGTCAATACATCTCAACAATCTTTATCTCCGCAAGAATCTTCAGCAATCTGCGACCTTAATCTTCAAGATTTCTATAGAAACCCCTACATCACCATCATTTTCTTCAAAAACAACACACACGCGCAATCTTCGACGACAACCACAACAATTCACAGAATCGCGGAAGAAATCCCAAAAGACAGATAAGAACATAATTGAAAGAGATATGTACCTGAATTTATCTGGTTTGACCATCTTCAGTGTCGCTGTTCAAGAGTCGTTGGAGCATCTCTAGTCGGTAAGATTCTACGTCCATCTGTTCTTAGTTTGGTCGTCTAATCTATTGACTGTATCCCGGTAACAAAATCGCAACGCGTTAGCAAGCTACGGTAAGACGGAGTCAAAGAATTGAGGAAGAAGAAACGGAAAAGAAGAAATAAGAGATAGAAGAAGCATAAGAATATAGTGAAGAATTTACCTCTGGTTTTCTTGGAACACCGACGCCATTGAAGAGCCAGCAGAGTTTTCCAGTAGAAGAGACCGAAGGTCGAACGGAAACACGCGGAGGTTCACGGTGGACAGTCATCAGAGAAGAAGAGCGAGGGAATAGGAGGAGCAGAAGAAGATCAGTGAAGATGATGATGGCCGCGCCGCCGAGTTGTCGGAAGAAGCGGGAGAAGGCCGGCGGCGCCGATTGTGTTCCGCGGAGAAGAAGAAGAGGCTTTCTTTTTGCAATCCCTAAAATCCCTTTCCAATTTCATATCCTTTTTCTTTTTCCATTTTTATATAATTGTATTATTATCTTATATTTTTTATTTTATAATAATAATACTGAAACAATAATTGTTTTATTATTTTATATATTTTATTTAATAATAATAATAATATGCTGAACAATATAATTGTTTTATTATTTTATATTTTCTATAATAATAATAATAATATGCTGAAAATAATATAAAAAATATGGGTTTTTGTTGTAAGAGGAATTAGTGATGGAATGGGCCAAACTAGTCAATTCTTGGATCATGATTATTTTTATTTTCTTGCTGATTGTGTCCATTTTTGATGGGGCCTAATGTCATTGCCTTTTTTTGCAGCACATAGTGAATTTAGTTCGCACCTCCTGAGATCTTATTTCCCATACTCATTTCGATTGCGGTTAATTTTGACGATTTATTTTCTTTGGCAATATTGGTAAATAGAAGAGATTTCTTTTCAATTCTCTCACTTTTCCTTTTCAATTTTAATCATTAGTTTTACTCATTTTTATGTCATGTGTTTCGCTCGCAATTTTTATGGATTGTATGCGATATCCTGATACTTGCTGCCTAATTTTACTTATTCGTATATTATTTCATGATTCTTTAGGAGATTTTGGTTCAAATTTAATCTTCAATTTAATTGAACTGAAAGTAGACATTAGGATTTCAAATTCATGCATACTAATATCAGATAGAAATTTCCCCTTTAGCCTAAATCTTATGGCTACTAACGCACAATAACATTAGGTTTAGAAATAGGCTAATTCCCCTTTAACTTTTCTTTCCCTTTTGCATTCGCACTTAAAACAAAAACTTCTTTTTTCTTTCAAAAATACAAAATACTTTAAAACTACTGATTCGAATCACGCTTTTGCTTAGTACGAGAAATGATAAGCGGGTCTCTTCTCGATCTTATTGTTCTTCATCTCAAGCATAGGTGTGGTTCAATTCTCAAAGACTCCTTTCATGACTAAGTAAAAAATGGCTAATATCTCTCTCTTGAGGTCAATCAGTCATCATCTACAACAAAAAATACAAAACAAATTCAAATCTTTTGTGCGCTCGAGCACTTTTCTAAAAAAAAAAACCTTTTCAGGTAAGGACATGATTAATTTACTTCTGTGCTAACGCATAAGCCTCCAAAGGTCGAGATGCGGCAGAAGGCGGGATTAACTTCGTCCACAAAAAACATTTATAACAAAATACAAAACAAACTCAAATCTTTTGTGCGCTCGAGCACCTTTTCTTTTAAAAACCTTTTCAGGTAAGGACACGATTAATTTACTTCTGTGCCAACGCATAAGTCTCCAAAGGTCGAGCTGCGGCAGAAGGCGGAATTAACTTCGTCCATAAAAAACACAAAACAAACAAAAAACATATGAGCCGAACTACGGTAGCTCTGATTCCTTAAAAAGGATACGTAGGCATTGGGGTAGGGCCCAGGCGAGCACAATTTTATTTTCCCTACATTCTTTTCTCCTTTCTTTTGCATGCATTCTCCCTTCAGTAGTATAATAGACAGTAAGCATAGATTAAACACACCCATAAGATAGATAACAAGAGTGGATACCGTAGAGTACTACGGGCGTGTGGGGTGCTAATACCTTCCCCTCGCGTAACAGACTCCCTTACCCGATCTCTCGGTCGCAAGACCGTGACTTCTCCCTTCTCAGGTTTTCTCGATGTTTACCTTTCCCTACATGTGGGATAAAAGACGTTCGATGGCGACTTCATTGTTTGATGATTTTCAGCCGGTTGTTTCAGCTGGCGACTTCACTGGGGAACGGGTCGACCAAGTGCTGGTCCATCCCGGAGTCGCTCCTAGCTCTTCTTTTCTTTTCTTTGGGTGTTTATCTTCACGCTTTCAGTTTATTCATTCATTTTGTATATACTCAAGCATGCATACGCATTGTATTTACTGTCTTCCATATACTACTGCTATACAGGATCTACTTCTTATTAGGTTGGGATGTTACTTTTGAGGTAAAAGGCCCAGTACCCAGGCCAGAGTGCACTAGGACACCTAGGAATAGAGTGGGGGCATGACGGCTATAGGACGTGGTCCGATTAGTGCAGTCGTGTCACATACCACCCTCGGATGAGGTTCAAATGAATTACTATCGGCACCCACGTCTGTGGGTAAGCCCATAGCACTTTCAGGCGAACCCATGATTTTCGAGTTACCATTATCTTACCCTGACCTAGTTTCACCCGTGAGTGGGGAGGGAATTTCTATCTCAGGTACAGATGGTGACTCATATTCAGATGACTACTCGTATTCAAATGATGACTGCTCAAACAGTGACCATCGGTTCTATTGGATATGCTCTGAAACTCTGTCAATGGTTAGGAGGTTCTCAGATTTATTTTCTGAGTCCCGAATCTGTTCATAAGATTGTATGGTTTATGTTCTGGACCTATGATCCTGGTACTTACAAGCTACGCAGAGACAGTACAGCAGATATTGGTATCATGGAAGTAGTAACACCATGATCATTTTGCATTTGCATCTAACATGTTTATTTCTCAAAAAAAAATGTCAGAAAGATGAAATTATCAACCTTGCATATGCATGTCCACTTTGGATACCTCACTGGCATAATTTTCGCCAATAACATTTGGCAACGGTGATGTTCTCAAGAAAACCAAAGGAGACAATCATACTTATTTGCACTATTCAAAGTTTTCTGCTCAAGTTCTTGGCCTTCTTTGAAGAATCTAGAGGACCATTTTCGTCATTTCGACCCTATTTCAGTCTTACAGCTACAAGTTACACATTCTAGGACTACCAAATTGTTCCAATTCTGGAAGGACAATCCTCTCTGCTGAACACCTACCTGTCGCCAAGTCCGGATAGGCACAATTTTGAAATTGTCGCTAAGGCACTTTATTTGAGCCTAAGCGACATGAAAAATAACCTACCCCCAAACTAATCATTATTGTTACCAATTGCTCACACTCCCATAACCTTCTTATATTCAGTTCTGTGGGAATTTCTCTTATCTTTGGATGTCTTCTTCATGTGGTCATTCTCATCATCATGTTGCTCGATTACTATTGACGGTACTTGAACCATGGAGAACCAGAGTGGACAATCATTTCATGCATCATACATATCATGCATTTCATAAATTGCAGGTTTGCTGGCAGGAGTTCTTATCTGATGATTTTGCCTTTTATTATAGAACCTACAAGACGACTTCCATACATCCTTATCGCACTCGAGCCAACAAGTTGAGGATCATGGAACAGATTGAGCAGAACCAGGCCTCTCTCCGCAAAGACATGGACACCATGGGTGACCGGATGAACCAACTCATGGAAACTCTTCATGCCGTCATCCAAGGGCAGGAAGAGCTCAGAATAAGCGTCACAAAACTGGTGGACATTGCCTCCACATCCGAGAATGGCGGACCCAAGAATAATCATGGGGGAATTCCTAAGGAGAACCCACAGATGATTATGGATGACCACCATGATGTCATTGATCTCGATGACCCTCCGAAGGGTTCTAAGGCTGATCTGTCTGAAACTGCTAAGATATACAAGGCTCTGGAAGAACGCTTAAAGGCTATGGAGACTTCTAAGAAACCAGGATTCAGTGCCGCTGCTATGTGTTTAGTTCCGGGGGTTGTGATTCCGCCGAAGTTTAAGGTACCTGATTTCGACAAGTATAAGGGAGCTACATGCCCAGAGACTCATCTCCGATCTTACTGCAGAAAAATGGCTGCTTATGCTAGCAATGAGCCGCTGCTTATGCATTTCTTTCAGGACAGTCTTGCTGAAGCTCCATTAGAATGGTACATGCAATTGGAACAAACTCATGTTAGTAATTGGAGTGAGCTTGTTGATGCTTTCTTAAATCATTATCACTACAACACCGCCATGGCACCTAGCCGTGCGCAGCTGCAGGGTATGTCTCAAAAGACTGGTGAGTCCTTCAAAGAGTACGCCCAGAGATGGCGCAGTTTGGCCGCAAGAGTTCAACCTCCTCTCCTAGATCGAGAACTAGTGGATTTGTTCATGAGTACCCTTCGAGGCCCGTATTTGCAACATATGCTCAGTAGTACTTCTGACTCGTTTTCAGATATGGTCATCATCGGGGAACGGGTTGAAATATGTGTTAAAGTGGGGACTATTTCAGGTGCATCTGGCACGAATAATAACAACAACTCAGGTGGTGGGAAGAAACCATACTCTAGCGGTTTCATCAAGAAAAAGGAAGGAGAGGTGAGCAATGCCTCCGATGATAAGGGGAAGGCTACTATACAAGTTCCATATTACCAGACCCCCGCGGCTGCTCCGCAACAACAATACGCACCGCCACGAAACTATCAACAGAACCAAAGGCCTCAGGGGCAGAGAGGTCAACAAAGGCAGCAAAGGTACCCCGAAAGGAGGATCGATCCAATCCCGATGCCGTATGCTCAATTGCTTCCATAATTGCTAGCCGGTCAGTTAGTACAACTTTGAGAGTTAGCTCCTCCGCCAGCGAAACTCCCAAGGGGTTATGATGTTAACGCACGTTGTGAATTCCATTCAGGTGCTCCAGGCCACTCGATCGAAAATTGCAAAGCTTTAAAATACAAGGTGCAATCTCTTTTAGATGCCAAGGAGTTAAGCTTTGCTCCTATAGGCCCCAATGTTCAGAATAATCCTATGCCTCCCCACCATGGGGCTGCTGCCAACGCTATTGGGTTTGACAATGACCATGACTTAGTGACTCAAGTTGAAGAGGTTCAGATGTCAATGGAAGCCCTAAGAGAGCATCTTTTACAGCAGAAAGTTCTACAAGAGCTTCATAGTTTTTGTTTGAAGTGCTCGTCCAATCCAGACGAATGTGACGATTTGAAAAATTCCATTCAAAAACTGATGGACGAAGGGATTGTCAGAGTTGAGAAAGTCGTTCCCGAAGGTGATGTCGCTATTTTGGAAATTCCGTATTATCCGGCCAATGTCCATAGAAATGCTTCAAAAGTTCCATTGGTTATACAGGTTCCAACGCTCCCTGCACCAAACCTGAATCCGGTTGCTCTCCTGCCAACCCAAGCGTCAACACTTCCAAGTTCTGTTCCTAACTCGTTAACTGACAATAGGGCAGTGCCGTGGGAATACAACGCCGTTTACATTCGGGGAAAGAAAGTTGTTTGTCCGCCGATCGAAAATAAGGATGTAACCAACATTGCCGGGACTAGTAGAATAACTCGAAGTGAGAGAGTCTTCGCTCCTACTCCACCACCTCCTGAGGAAGTTATCGAAGAGATTCCTGTAAGAGATAAAGGGAAACAGGCAATTAATGATTCTCCTGGTACGTCTTTTGAACAACAAGTGGAGCAGTTAATCAGAGTAATCAAGAAGAGCGATTTCAAGGTGGTTGACCAGCTAAA